TATTTGAATCTTCGAAACCAGAGATGAAATTATTGGTTATAGGTTAAGATTTAAAGATATTCAGTGTAATGATATATTTAGAATGCTTTCACTTCATCGTTCCTTGATTCAATTAAAAGATTCCTAAAAGTTGATTTGAAGATGTAACAATTATATCTTTTTCCTTGTTTATAGCTACAGCATAATAATATGGATGTTAAATAGAGCATAAATTCTAATCAATCTTTTAATTCTATTAAATATTCTATAAAGAATAATAATAATTATCTGGTGTTAATTATTATTATAACTGCTTGCTGTTTTAAAATATCTCTACAGTTGTCTTTATTTATTCAAATTATAAGAATATAATTATATTTTCATCCAATATGTTAATCTTAGTATTGTTAAATGTCTTAATTTAATTTATTATCTATTGAGTTTCGATGTTAATCTGAGTCATTTAAGATAATTTCAATAAAGCTATAATTGAATTAATTTTTGATATATACTTCTATTTTTTTATCCATTCCGAATGAATATTGATTATTCTATTTATTTCTTATAACAAATAATCCTTTAAGGACTAAACCTTCTATTCAAATTACCTGAGTGAATTTATAAAAGGATTTATTTATAATTCACATTTCTAAATGGAATTCTTTTGCTCATTTTCAATTGTTTCTTTTATTTAGCGTAAAGGATGTACTTCAATAGTTATTGACTTAAAACATTCTTCATAGTAAATTCTCTTATTAGATGGATAATGAGGTTCAATAAATACTGACCTTATAGTTTTATTGTGATTATAACAGCATTAATAATTATCTAGGTTTTCAGTTATTTGTGGCGAAAATATTGTTATTAAGTCTAGTTCTACACAAAAAATTACATAAAATAATATACTTTTTATATAAGGTCTTCAATCTTTTTATTTGATGAATTATAATAATATTTCATTCCATATGGATCTTGAAGACATAAAAAGTCATTTTCTTTTTTTTCAAATTTTCAATATGATAATTTAATTTATTCAAATTCTTATTACTAAAATATATTTTCTCTTTTATAAAACTCTTCCAAATAAGCTTAAATATCTTTTTATTCAGCTTTGATAAAATCGCTAATCATTTCTAAATGTATATCTCTATTTGTTATCTTCATTATTTACTATAGAATAACATATTTTGTAAATTTAATTTTATTTATTAATCTATCTCATTATTTTTGATTCTCCCTTCTTCAATTTAAAAGCTATCTTTCTTAATTAATTTTTCAGATTATTCTTTTTCTGTACAAATAACCTTTTCCAACTTTTCTTTTAAATATCTATTGCTATTGATGATTTACTCAATGTAATTAGATAAATTATTTAATATCATTTAAGAATAATGCAGGAATATTTAAATATTATTTAATAAATTATAGAGTCTCTGCTAATAATAATTCTCTTGAGTAATTCAAAATATCTATTAAGCCACTTGAATTTAATACAGTAAGCTAGGTAGTGTTAAGCCTTTTAAAATCTATTGTAGTATTTAAATTTATACTTTGCATATTTTAGTTTCATCTGACCTCAAAAATATTTTAGCAAATTATAAAGAATAATACCAATACTCTAATTAAGAAATTCTTTAGACAAAATGGTTTAACAATTTAAGCCTCTCTCTTAATTGATTGATTTACTATTTTATTTGGAATTGGTGGAACGTATACAAGATTTACTTTTTACAATATAATTGTTTGTAATAATAGGAATATATGAATGAATTATTAATAAATTCTATTACAAAAAAATAAAATAAGTTCTTGTATAATATACACACCAAAACTTTATAAGTGATTTTCTTAAAGAATAAAACCCTATATTTTTTCTTTATATTTAAAACCTTCCCCAAGCATCCACACCTTAAATAGTGTAGTTAACATAATTTTTTAATTAGGGTTTTTTTATTTCTATAGGATTGCACACATGAATCGCTATTGATTTCTAATTATTATTGAATTCAGAAACTACATTACTAATTTGCTATTACTCTGGATTAAGCAAAAAAGTATAGATTTAGTCATTTGCTAATTCTTTTTAGTTGAATTGTAACTAGGTTTCGTTTAATTTCTAATCAATCTTGTAAATTTTATTAGTCTTTTTTTCATCATTTAATTATATAGAATGATTAAATTAATCAAATTTTAGATTTATAATAAAAATTAATTATACTTATATTTCTGGTTAAACATAATTTTAATATAATGAATAAATTATTTAGTCAAAAACATAGATTTTATATTATTTATATGACTTAGAATATGTAATGTTATCAACATTAATAAGTTTCTAATCTAATTTAATAAGTAATCTTATGTAATTTTATCCTTTAATAAAGAATTTGTGGATACAATAAGTAGATGAATAGAGGATAAAATAAATATCAACATCTTAATTTTTAGTTTCTAATTTAATAAATCATTAAACAAGTAATTTATGGATAAGTATCATTCATATGATAATATATTATATTTCAATGAGAAATTCATTAACAATCCTCTTAAAATCTTTAGTAATAGAAATGAAATGACATTAGAAGGAATAAAGTAATTTTTTATTCAAATTGATAAAGAAGAATGGAAGTTCGAGACTTTATGTGATATATTTATAACACATTAACTATTACTTAATCAATAATCTTCTGTTCTAACAGGGAGAAGTGTAACTGGTTTCAATGTAATCTATTTCAATTTAATCTGTTGTTAAATCATAAAAGTAAGTATGTTAAATTAGAAGATGATTTTAAAATTAAGTTATTTTTACTGTAATATTTTAAATTCATACTATCTTATTTCAAGCTATTTCGTGTAATTTTAAATAGTTTGTAAGAGATTTCATAATTTTTCATTATAATTATAATTTTGCTTATAATTGTTATCTTAAAAATTACTTACGACATAATAATTTTTACTTTTCCATTTTTAAGTGTACATTCTAAAAAATGAGACTTAATTTCAGAAATAAGATGAAATAAACCAAAAATGCTTAACTTTTTGTTAAACTCAATATTATATTATACTAAATATTGTGGTGAGTAGTGCCTATTGAAATTAATTTTTTAGTTTTATTAAATCTAAATAATAGAAAGAGGCAATTAATCCCTAATTTGGTGTTTATTTAATTTATTATATATTTTTAGAAAAATATTGTTAATGGGTAAGTTATGAACTATTTTATTATCTAAATAAAAACCAAAAATTTTTATACATAAAGAGACCCTATGTTTTGCTCATTTATATTATTGTTTATAGGTTTGATTGATATTAAAACCTTAGTAAAATGTAGAAAATTATTTTATTTTGTAGGATAAAAATAATATATTTTCTCATTAGAATTTAAAAATAAGAAATCAATTCAATTTTACTTAATTAAAATCATTTCCTTAAAAGAAATAGGTTGATTTAAAATATCACTAAATCACAACTTGTTAGTATACTTGTATTATTTATTTTAATACATTCTCTACTCTCTTTCCCTTTTCTATTCAAATACAAACATAAAATTATAATAGCAGTTAAATAAAGAAATAATAAAAATTATTTAAATCTGGAAGATTAAAGCTTTGTTAAATTTATATTTCTAATTGACTCAATTTAGATATATTTCGCTCCATTTTCATTTAAGAAAAATATTAAGAAATTAATACTATTTTTATTAATTGATAATTTTTTATCCTAAGGTTTCTTTTTTTTTCATCAAAAAACGTAGTTAAATTGCTCTAATACAAAAAATATTTATTCATAATTAAATAAAGAATACTATTATGTCTTCTAATCTTTAATCCATAAAATGCAACTAAATAATCATAGCAGGAAATCAATTATATCTATTATTATATATATTTATGTGTATGTTTGTGATTAAAACATTATAATTCATCAATTACATGATTTATAGTTACAGAAGCTTTCTAACCATTTTGGGTGATTTAGAAATTTAATGTTCTGATGAAAAATGATTTTAATATCCCAAACAATTTTTCTTAAATCTTATTCTAATTAAACTTTTTCCAAAATTAAGTACTTAAAGTCAGTAATTGTTCTTGAGCCATAATTACTACTATTTTGAATGAATTAATAGATTTTAATAAATATGTCCTAAAGGAAAAATAAGCATGAAAGTTTATTTAGAAATAAATGAGTAGTATTAAATTATAATTAATAAACCTCTGAATTAATTTACATATTTTTAGCCTTCTTTAAAATTTATTAATATAAAAATTATTTTTAATTTCGTTTTGGTTTTTGGTTAACTTTACAGTTAGCAATTCAATTTCAAAGAATTCTTAAAATAGGCTTATTTTGCTTAAAGTCTAGATAAAAAATATTTTATTGTCTATTTATATTTAGATACAGTATTAAGATCAGGAATATTAGAAACCCACATTAAAAATTTAGCGGCAAAAAATTTAAATATTAAGTGGAAAAAATTTGAATTTGGTTTCCTGAAAAAGGGAATAAGGAGTATTTAAACTAAGTTGTAATTCGGCATCTTAATATACTCTCAATTGCTTTTATTTTTTGAGTGATCATCCATTAATAAATTGGATAGTAGTTATTCATTTATTTTTAATCGCCTCTAATAATAATTAACAGAATATCAAAGATATCATCTAATTCTTGACTAGGGACCAGGGATCCAAAAGTTGTATTTTTCTGCTTTCAAATAGTATAAAAGCGAAATATATTTTTTTAATCAAATATTTGATATTTATTCAGGTGTGGAATCCCATAAATTTTATTAATTATTTTATAAAAAAAATTTGGATACATTTCAGAAATGAGCAAAAAAAATTCCAAGAATCTAGGTATAAATATCAAATGGAATTGTTTTTAGGAGTTTAAAATTACTTACAGAACAGAAGAAGCATTAGTAGTTTAATAATGCTTTGGATCTATGCCCTCAATTTGGCGAAGCCTACACTTTAAGAAGTTCAAAGTTTAAAAAATCCATTTATAAAATGATATGAAAAAATAAAATTATATGTGGAAAATGTAAATTAGAATGCTGAAAGCTATTATTAAAGAGGTATCTTAACATTTAAGGAACAATTTATAGGAAAAAATAATTATTTGATCTAACTTTATAAGATTATATGAAGTGTGTTTAGATTAATCCAAAATTTGCAAAGTGTTATAGTAGAATGGGTAATAAAATACTCATAATGCATAGGCACTGTTATGAGCGATTTATAATAACAGGATGTTGCGCTCTAAAATTCTAATTAGTATAGAAAATGATGGGAACTGCATTTATGTTTAGAAGTAATGTAAAATTCATATTTTTAGCTTGGTATAATTAAAATGAACAAATGAATGATGATGCACTTAGAGATTTCAATTAAGCTTTAAAAATGAATCCAAAATATGCTTTAGCCTATAATTACAGAGGTGAATACTATTACACATAATATTTTAGCCATATTATTTAAAGATATTGGTGGCAAAGATAAAGAATTAAGTGACTATTAACAAGGATTTTGTCTATCTCTTAATGATCCGTTGTTATTATGCAATTTGGGTGATTATTATTACATTCTTTCTGACCATACTTAATAAACTTTGAATGTTCTCAAAAGGCCTTAGATTCTTTATAGAGGTTAAAATAATCAGAAATGGTGAAATGACATTTAAACAAATAAAGTATTAATATCATAAAATCTAAAGATTGACATCCTAAAAAAATTAGATAAAGAAATTGAGCAATCTAAATATCTTTTCGAGAAGTTGCCAATCGAAAAGCCTTAATTAATCTAGGAAATTAAAAATCTTTGAATTAGATATATTAACAAATAATAACCAATACTTTTCCATCTATCAGAATTTATTTTTTCAATTAATTATTGTTTATAAAATTACTTTTAAATTCAAATGATAGGCATAAATTCATAAATCAAAAAAAATTAGTTTGACACAAGTTATAAAATAATCTTAAGACAAAAATAATAGAAGTTCCAACTGATTAATAGGATTAATTTAGCAACATTCTCAACCATTAATTA